TATTTATGACATATTAAATGTTCTTCTATCATAGCACACATCAAAAACTACACAAATTTGAAAAAGCTAACAACAGCAATGTCAAGAGAACAAGACAAGCCACAGATTGGGGGAAAAAAGATATTTGCAAATAAAAGAGCTGATAAAGGATGATTATCTAAAAATGTATAAAGAACTCTTAAAACTCAACAATGAGAAAACAAACATAAAAATGGAAAAAAGATCTGAACATTTTTATCAAAGAAGAAATACAGATGGAAAATGAGCATATGAAAAGCTGTTCCATATCACATACCATTAAAGAATTCCAAATTAAAACAACAGTGAGACACCACTACATGCCAATTAGGATTGCTAAAATCCCAAACACAGACAACACCAAATCCTGGCAAGGATGTGGAATAATGGAAACTCTCATTTACTGCTGGTGGTACAGCCACTCTGGAAGACAGTTTGGTGGTTTCTTAAAAAAACTAGTACTTGTATTATCCAATTCAATAGTCACACTCCTTGGTATTAAACCAAATGAGCTGAAAACATTATATTCACAAAACAAATAAAAAACAGCACACTGACATTTACAGAAGCTTTACTCATAATTGTCAAAACCTGAAAGCAACTAAAAAGTCCTTCAGTAGGTGAACAGATAAACTCTGGTACATACACACAGTGGAATATTATTCATTACTAAAAGGAAATGAATTATCAAGCTGTTTATTCACTTTTCTGTCACTATAACAAATACCTAAGATAATCAATTTATAAAGAGAAAAGATTTATTTTGGCTCACAGTTCAGTCTATGATGAATCGGCCTTGTCACTTTTGACCTGTGGTAGCCCGACACAGAGGGAACACATGGCAGAGCAAACCTGTTTACCCTCTTGCTAGGAAAGCAACACAAAGAGAAAGAGGACATAGTCCAAAATCTCCTTGAAAAGCATGCCCTCAATGGCCTAAAAACCTCCAGCTATCTCTTAAAGTTTGCACCATCTCCCAATAGCACCAAGCTGGGGATCAAGCCTTTAACATATGGGCTTTTGGAGACATTTATCAAAATCAAAGCACAAGCAATGAAAAGACATAGAAGAACCTTAAGTGTGCATTACTAAGTGACAAGAACCAACCTGGAAAGGCTACTTTATACTGTTTGATTCCAACTATATGACATTCTGGAGAAGACAAAATTATGGAGACAAGCCAGGTACAGTGGCACACACTTGTAATCCCAGCACTATGGGAAGCTGAGGGAAGAGGACTGCAAGTTTGAGCCCAGCCTGGGGCACTCAGTGATTCAGCAAGACTCTGTCTCAAAATAAAAAACAAAAAGGGCTGACTACAAATGCCCACTACAAAGACACTGAGTTCAATAGCCACTATCACATACATACACACACACACACACACACACACACACAAATCTATCTATCTGTCTGTCTATCTGTCTATCTATCTATCTATCTATCTATCTATCTATCTATCTATCTATATCAATCAGTGGTTGCTAGGGGTTAGTAGGAAGGTGGGATAAACAGGCAGAACACAGAAAAATGTGGCCAGGGGCAGTAAAAAATACTCTGTATAATACTACAAGAGCATACTCATGTCATTCTTTTTTCCAAAACCACAAAATGTACACAATCGGGACTGAACCATAATGTAAACTATGGACTATGGGTAACAATGATGTACCACTGTAGATTCACTGATTATAACCACATATTTCAGTCTGGTGGGGAAATGGTGATAACGCGGAATGGTGTTTGGAGGCAGAAGGTTTAGTGGAACTCTGTGTTTTTGCTCAATTGTGCTGTGCTTAAAACTCATCTAAAAAATAAAGCGCATTTTTAAGACAGTGTAATCATAATCAAGTAGTTATCTTTGAGAAGATGGACAAGAAATGAGGAAGGGCAGGGCAGCAGTGGTTTTGCTTTTCATAAGCTCCTGTCTTAGTTCAATTTTTAGATCTGTGCACATGTTACTATGATTATAAAAATTAAGAAAAGGCAATGCAAATGTCTGTGAATACAGTATGAAAGCAGGCAATCAGCAGTATGTTAGTTTTATAGGTAATGATCCTTTGGACTTAGAACAAAGATTAAAAAAAAAAAATTGAAAAAGGCCAGGGATTTACCTCAGTGGTTCTGGCACCTGCCTTGCAAGCGCAAGGTCCCAAGTTCGATCCCCAGTACCAAAAAAAAAAAAAAAAAAAAGAACAAAGATAAAAAACTTTGAGGCAAGTCAGCAAGCAGATACTCTGCCATAAGGAAGGAAGGAAGTCTGCTATCACATCTTGGGGCCTTACCTTGACTATGCAGAAAGAAATTTTTCCATAGCTGGACTGCCCTTCAGGTAATCTCAATGCAGTGCTTTCTAGAGACTTATATAATCTCATATTAAAGTTAACAGAAATTCTTTGGAAATGAAAACAGGAAAAAAACCACAAAGGTCCTACACTCATCCAAATGAATGAAATTATTTACTCATATTGTTTCCTTTGTTAAAAGCCAACAGTAGAGTCAATGTTTAGAGATGGTTTTGAGAGAGACTCTGAGTCCAACCTGGTCTTGAACTTGCAATCCTCCTGCCTCAGCCTCCTGATTTTTTTCCAGAATGCCATATTAATTTTGCTCATACTCCCTTGCTTAGCAATTTGGGTTAGAATTTAAAGTTCTTGTATATCTACATCCTCCTTTCCCCCAAATATTCACACTGCACCATGACCAGCACTCCAGAATAAGGGGGACAATAAAGCTTCCAAACAAAAGACCCTTAACATTCAGAAGGGGGCTCTGGCCTGGAGAGGACACAGTGCCTGCTCTGTGTTGGGTTACAAGCAAGATATGGAGGACACAAAGATGCAGTGTTTGTAAATGAGATAATGGTATGGTCTGACCAGCTTCTCACAGCCAGCCCACACAGCAGGCTGCAGTTAGTCATCTCCAGAAGCAGAAATGCAAAATGGCTCTGGAAGGACAGCTCCCAGTGCGCAAAAGTTTGAAAAGTGCAAAGCAGGAAGAGACATCTAGTTTCCATTGAAATCAAAGTGGCCAGAGAATGCCTGGCCCCAGGATTCACTCTGCAGACAGCATTCACTTCCCTGCCCATTGTGTGGGCCAAATGAAATTCTCATTGCCCAGCTCGAGAGCTTGGCACCTCTGATCATAATTCTACCAGCATTGAGAAAATAAAGCCCACAGTCTCCAGGCAGCAAACACCAAGAATGAGGAATTGCTGAGGGTGGTGAGTCTCTAGCAAATAACGAGGTCTGTGTCTCCACAGGCAGCCCTGTTTCCAAGAGATGGAAAAAGCTCAATTTCCAGGTTTGTGAGGATCAATCCAAGTTACAGCAGCCTCTTCTAGATCAAAATGGACATAACTCTTGAAAAAGTCCACACTTGACTCACCGAGATCACTGAGAAATTTCCAAGTTCCACCATTAAAAGATAGTAAATTCATCTGAGAATTAAATGAGTTAGCCCACTGATTCCTATTTATTTCCATTAGCACTGGAATTTTTCAAAAATTTTGTGAGACAAGGTCTTGCTATGTAGTTCATTCAGCCTAGCCTTGTACTCACTATGCAGCCCTGGCTGGCCTAGAACTCATGGCAATCTTCCTGGCTCAGACTTGAGTGCTAGGATTACAGACATGCACCACCACATCCGTTTTTTTTTTTGAGTTTAAAAAAATGACTCATGGATCAAAATATTGAAAAAAAAAAAAAGCTTTAAAGAATTGCCTACATTTCTTAACATTTACTATGCAAGAAATGATAACAGCACTTTATATCTGCTTACTGCTTTGGTATTATTTTTGTTGTTGTTGTTGGTTTTGTTTTGCAATTCTGGTGACCAAACTCAGGGCTCTGTGTGCTAAAGAAATGCTCTGCCACTGAGTTAAATCCCAAAACAGGGCTTTTGTTTTCACAGCATTATTACATCTTCATTTGAAGCTTACAAAAAGCAACTGGAGAAGTATTGTTATTGTTATTTGAGGCAAGATCTTGCTAAGTTGCCCAGGCTGGCCTTGAACTCCTAAGCCTGGGTGATCGACTGCCTCAATCTCCCAAACAGCTGGGCCTGTAGGAGGTCCTGTATCTGGCTTTTGTCAAAAAGTTTTATCATCATTATTTTACAGATAAGGAAACCAAAGGTCTGAGAGGCTTCAAAATTTTTCCCAAGGATTACACAGTAAGTTTTCTGGTACCTATGGAAAGTACAAAATGCTATTTCAGAACTGGAAAAAACAAAAATCATGCAGCCTAATTTTTCATATCAAGCAGTATCAATGGCATCCAACTTCTGCTGCCTGCTATTTATTAAACTCCCATGTTCTAGTTACCACTCAATATTTTCAGAAGAGAACTCAGCCTTAGACAAGGCCTTCCAGTGTTCAACAGCTCACACAGTTGGACAATCTTTCTTTATATGAAGCTGAATTCTGTCATTAACATGGCACACACTGGTTCCAGTTCTGAAACAATCTGGAACCACAAAGAACAAATTTACTGTCTCTTAAAAAATAAAAAATAGGGCCGGGGATTTAGCTCAGTGGTTCTGCTGCTTGCCTCGAAAGTGCAAGGACCCGAGTTCGATCCCCGGTACCAAAAAAAAAAAAAAAGGTGTATTAAAATATAAAAAAATTAAAAAATTCATTGCTTCTTTCATATGTTCTCCAAGTACCTGAGGGCAGATATGTTTTGTATTATCTCCTACTTCAAAACATTCCTAATTCTCTCTACCGGGTCTCATAGGACATGAGGCCCCACTCATTGGATTAACTGCCTAGAGATTTCTCATTTACCAAAGTCCCTCTGAAATATTATCCAGAATCTCAGATACACTGTGGATATGGTGTTTATGAGTTAGAAATCTTTGGTTAGGGGAAACAACAACATATATACATACAAGTAAAGCTTGCAATAATACAAAAAGAAAGTTTTGGCTGTCCCAACTGAAAGTCTAGTATCAGGTTAGCTTGAGTTCTACCTCAAGTTGGAAGATGTTCTCAGAGTCCATTTCTTTCCATTTCTTGCTCCTGCCCTCTTCCTCAGGTTCCCTTCATCAATAAGCTGACTGCCCACATGGCAGTGCTATGGCTCTGGCATCTCTAAGCCTCACATCATATCCCTCAAATTTAGTAAACAGAGGTAATGGTCTCCTAGAAACCTCAACAAACATCTCTCCAAATCTCATTCTGATTGGCTCTGAGCCATCCTTGAATCACTGAGGCCAAGGTTTTAGTACTGATCCACTGCAACTGGGAAATTGATGAGTTACCCAAGGAGAATTCCTGGGAGAAGAGGGAAGTAAAAGCTGGGAAGTCAAACAGCAAGTGTTCAAGTATGGTCTGATCAATGCTGAGTCAGTTCACTGGTACAGTAAACTAGTACATAGTAATACAGCAGCTAGAAATGGTACGCTAGACCTCTCCTTATTGGTGGGGCATACAGAGCATCTTAGTGGGTGTCTGAAACTACAAGGTATTGAACCCTGTATATGCTGTTTTTCCTTCTATATACATTCCAAGAAAGAGTTTAATTTTAAAATTATGCACAGTAAGATATGAAGGTTAATAATAAAATAGAACAATTATGACAAAATGTTGTAATAAAACTTATTGAATGTGGTCTCTCAAAGTTTATTATACTGTACTCTTTTTTCTTATCGTGATGTCAGATGATACAATGTCTATGCTTTGGGATAAAGTAAAGTGAACGATGGAAACTATGACAGTGTTAGGCTGTTTTAAGCCTAACATTGAGGGTTACTTGAACATAAGCATTTTGATACCTCTGTGGTTAATCTTATAACCAAGATGTATATACTAAGATTAATGGGTGAGTAGTTTAGCTGGCATAGATACACTGAGAAAAACAATGGTTCATGTTCATGCCAAGATCAAGTGAGACAGTAGGAAATGTCATAATGCTACTCAGAATGGCAAGCAGAGTATCTGAAACCATGGAAAGCAAAACTGTGAGCGGCAGGGGGGTTTGGGGGCTACTATACAGTAAAACAGTTGAAAACAAGCCCCAAAAAGCTTTAGGCCCAAGAAGGTAATATTATGCAACAATTAAAAAAGAAATTGCATAAATTGCTTAGCATAAATTCAGTATGCAGAACACTTAAAAGACAATGTTAACATGGGGGAAAATAACCACAGGATAACAAGTTTTAAGACTACTGCAACTGCCACTGGGCAAGCATTTCTGGATGTAATGAGTAGGTAGGCTCTTCAGGAATAGACTTATCACATTTATGTTGCTATTTACTAAATCCCAGAGTTCAGTTACCATTATTTCAGAACAAGTTTCCCCATAACTTCACAGCTTAACAGAAGTTTGTGGGTTACGAACTTGGGGAAAGCTTGGCTAAGCTGGCCTCTCTCAGATGCTCTCAGGTGGTTGTAGTTCCATGTTGGCTGGGGCTATAGTCATGTGAAGATGTGAAAGGGGTGGATGTGCCAGCTAGCTCACTCACTCAGTGTCAGATGAGACCAGCATGGTGGTCTCACAGTGGTGACTCATTACAGAAAGACTCAGGGCTCCAGAGGCAAGTGCTCTTGCACACCAGTAAGAGCTGCGTGGCCTTTCATGGTCTCAGTCACATAAGTCGCTTCCCTCTGTTCAGTTGGGGTACCTTTGGGCCTGCCTAGATTCCAGAGGCACATCCCTGATGAAAGTTGTGAGCTCACATTGCAGAAGAGCATGTGGGGTGGCAGTTACAGCCATTTCTGAAAAATACAGTCTGTCATATCTGAGCAGGCTAACAGGAAAGATCTTATCTCACGAAGGCATTCATTATGCGCCTTTATTTCCTAGATTGGTGTTTGCATCACTGGAGTGCCCAACCATGGAATGTGAAATCTACTGCCAACTATGCAATTCCAAAGACATAGTAAAGACCACTGTCAAGTCCTCTCCTTGGTAAGTACAGGACTCTTGATGTACTGCACTTTCTAGATTTAGCTGGTCCTATTTCTTCACTCTAGTGCAAAGGAGACAAAGGCACAAGTAAATATTTTGTTACTTCACCATGTCCTTCAAAATCAAGCTAAGGCTGATGAAATATGTTCAGCAATGACTTTTCCTCTATTTTTTACTTTATTAATATTTCAAATTTTAAAAACTACAAAACTAATTCTTTGTTACATATATTAACTCATTTAAAACCCTATGCAGTAGGTACTATTTTTATACCATACATAGTTTACTAAGGAGGAAACTGAGGCACAGCTGGGTCAGATAACTTGTCTGGGTTCCACATCCCAAGCTGGAATTCAAGCCCAGGAAATGCAGGCTGTAAAGTTCACACTCTTAATTACTAAACTCCCTACCCCCTGCATACAGAAAAAACACATGCTCTTTCTAAACATGAAATAACCAAAAACCTGTATTAGGCTGCAATGACCACTATGAACAGCCTTGAAAGAATGTGTTCTTCCAAGACTGTTATGTTGATACAAACATGCCTGGTCTTGTACAGGATCACAGCATACAGTACACATATAGAACATTAAGTTGTAAACATTCCTTTCTGAACTCTGATTGTCGAGCGCCGGGGATTTAACTCAGTGGTTTTGCCACTTGCCTCACAAGAGCAAGGATCTGAGTTCGATACCTGGTACCAAAAAAAAAAAAAGAATTGTAAACTCTGTTTTGTCCCTTGAGAATACAGTTTATGTTACAGCCTTCTAGAAGACTGTAAACAGACCTAACTTGTTATTAAATAATATAAAATTTTACTAAGAATGATGTACCATAACTTATTCAAACTATTCCTACTGAAGGACATTCAGACTGTTCCTAGACTTGGGCCACTACAAAAAAAAGTACTGCAATTAGCAAATTTTTCCTCCATTCACTACATGTACATGTACTGGTGCTTTTATTTCTAGAGGTCAGAAACTCTAGATTCCTGAAAAACAACACATATTTTTCAATCTCAACAGCGACTGCCAGATTGCTTTCCAAAAAAAGATTGCAATAATCCACAGGACACTGGAAATTTACAAGAGTAACTGTCCTCTCTACCTTTACCAAAGCAGAAAGTTATTTCTTTTGATGAAAAATGGTTTCCTTTGTCTTGCATTGTTATGATTATGATTAATGTCAAATACCTCTGATTTTTTTTCGTTCCCTCCACTTTTTTGGCCATCTGAATTGCTCACCATCTTATTATATTAACTTCCACCATCATCCCTTTCGGCATTTAGGCTTTTCTTTTTTATAGGTGTCTTTCATATACTCAGGATATTTTATAGTATTTCCCTCAGAAAGTTACATACTCAAATACTTATACCTAGTATTTCTTCTCTTTATTTTTAACTGACACATTAAAAATGTATATACCGGTTAGGTGTGGTGGTGCACACCTGTAATCCCAGCACTGGGGAAGCTGAGGCAGAAGAAATGCTGTGAGTTCAAGGACAGCCTGGGCTACCGAGTGAGTTCAAGGCCAGTCTGAACTGTATTAACCACTTATGTAACTATGAGAGACTATTACAAGGAATAAATATTAAATTTGTTTTAAATTTCTTTGTCTCTCTTTGTAAACCAACTGTCTAGTGGCCTCTATAAAACCCTAAAATTAAAACAGATTGAGATTAAATGTATCTTTCCTAAATAATACTGTTATTCAGAAAAGACATTTTCTGTAAAATCTGAATACAAGGAACCTCCTTTTGTTCTAAGAAAAACTCTGGAGGAAATTAGTCTCATGTCCAGGCTACCTGGGAAGGATTGATAATTTTATAATATTAAATCTGCACACCCTGGATCACTAGGTAGTGTTTTCATTATCTCAGGTCTTATTTCAGGAATCACAGTGCAATTAATACTTTTCACCTTACATTCTGTAACTTTCTACTCAAAATTATTCTTAGCTATCTTGCGGCATTTGTTAACTGCACTTTTTTCATTTTCCGATGCTTACCAGTTATTCCTAGTACAGGCTGAGAATCACTAATTCAAACCTCTTAAAAGATCCAAAATCTTGGGCTGGGGATTCAGCTCAGTGGCATCACACCTGCCTCGCAAGTGCAAGGTCCAGAGTTCGATCCCCGGTACCAAAAAACAAACAAAACAAAATCCATTTAAGATTTTGGATTTTTTTTTTTGGTATTGGGGATCGAACTCGGGACCTTGGACTTGCGAGGCAGGTGGCAGAACCACTGAGCTAAATCCCCAGCCCTCTTAAATGGATTTTGGATGAAGGATGCTCAACCCAGACTGCTCACGCTTTCCAAAATCTGAAAGGTGAAACAATTCTGATTCCAAGCATTTTAGAAAAATGATACTCAATTTGTATAGAAAAAGCTATTGTTCTCTTTCTTTTTACACATACACACACTTAGAAAATCTTAGGTCAAATTTATTTTTTTCAATATTTAATTTTAAAAAAGGTTTTTGTCTTATTGCCCTAAAACCAAAACAGCAAGGCATGGTGGTGCACACCTGTGATTCCAGCACTTGGGAGGCTGAGGCAGGATTGCTGCAAGTTTGAGACCACCCTGGGCTACACAGTACATCTGAGGCCAGCCTGAACTACACAGTGAGACCCTGTCTCAAAAATAAATAAATTAAATAAATAAATAAATAAATAAATAAATAAACGCCAGGGATTTACCTCAGTGGAGCTGCGGCTGCCTCACAAGCCCTGAGTTCGATCCCGGTGACGGAAGGAAGGAAGGAAAGAAGGAAGGAAGGAGAGAGAAAGGAAAAAATGCAAAAATAAATAAAAATTTAAAAACTCAAAACAATGTTAAATAATAGCAATAATACTTCAGGTTTTATATTTTTCTAGGAACAATTTTGAGAGAAAATTGCCAATTTCTTTCCGATTTTCAAAAGTATTATTACAGAATTAATTTTTTATTTCTTTCACACCTCTAACCAATAGACCTTTATTTTTAATATTTCTCCTCTATTTTTGTAACTTTGGAAAATAGTATTTTGTTTTATTTCTCTACCATTTTGTCTTCTATTTTATTCAAGATTTACCACTATTCATTTATTTTTCCTTTCTTGTTCTTTCACAAGTTTTGTAAATTGAAGATTTCACTCATATTTTCAGTCTTTTTCTTATACTAATAAAAGCATCTATAATTACACATTTTCTGACAATACTCTAGTTCTATTCTACAGATTTTTCTACAAAACTCTACTTTCTATTTATTGCTATACAATTTATAATTTGTTTTGTCTTCTTTTAGTGCAGATTGTCTCAACTCAAAGGTAGTTTTTAAAAAATATAATTATCTTTTTTCTTGGTACCTAATTTCAATGGGTTACAATATTAAGATTGGATATAAAATAATTTTTATATTTTAGCGTTTTCTGTAACAAAGTACATGATTAACTTCTGTAAGCCCTCCCTATACCTAGGTGAAAAATATGTGTACTCCTTGCTCCATAAACTTATTGAGTATAATGTTATAACCTCATATTTTTGCTTTTTTGATTTGTTTCAGAGATTGAAAATTAACAGCCTGCAAGCCAGGTATATTTTGTCAGGCTGGGAAAGTACTTTAAAATGCATGAACCTCAATGGCTTTAGGCAAGGCACACCCCATCCAATTCACTGTGCCATACCCATCACGGAGCTGTCTTCTGCTCCCTAACTCAGATTCATGCTATCCCAACCTCTGTGGGCATCCAAGCTAACAATGTATCTTACTTGATAAGCCAAATTAGAAAAGACATCTAATTAACATCTGGTACACGCCGGGGATTTAGCTCAATGTGGCTCCGCCGCGAAAGCATGAGGTCCCAAATTTGATCCCAGGTACCAAAAAAAAGTCAGTAACATCTGGTACAATACGTTTTTAAATTAATTCTCTTATGCCTAATTTTTTCCATATATATTTTGCTTCAGAAAAGTTAAAAGACAGTAAACATATTTTCAGTTTTATCAGAATATAGTATCCTTTTCTGTCCTGTTCAGTACTTTTGGTTTTTTTGGTACTGGGGATTGAACTCGGGTCCTTGTGCTTGCAAAGCAGGCAGCGGAACCGCTGAGCTAAATCCCCCCCGCCACTCTGTTCAGTGCTTTTGTTCTTGCATTCCACTTTGTCTGATGCTAACATAACTGTTTATTGATTTTTAATAAATAAATTTAGATTAAGAATGTTTATTGTGGTGCTCTTTATTTGGCTTTGTTGCTTCCAACTGTTTAAATTTTGTTTTATTGTCTGTTAACTCTTGTTTTATCTTTTTTTCCTTCCCTAACTTTTACTGCTTTGGTATTGTTTCTTTATTCCTTTCTCATTTGTTTAGCTCTTGTCATCGTCATCATTCTCAATATGTTATTTTGGGAATACAGCTGAGTATCCCTTATTTGAAATGCTTGGAACCAGAACTGTTTCAGATTTCAGGGATTTTTGGATTTTGACATGTTTTCATAGACTTTACAGATTGAGTATACCCAATACAAAAATCTGAAATCTGGAAGGCTCCAATTTTCTGATTTTTAGATAAGAGATACGCAAACTATACTTTTTTTCCTATTATGATAGTAATTATCTACCATTCCTAACAGTATTAACCAAACTTTTACCAAAGTTAAATTACTGTGCCTCTAAATTACTCAACAACAAAAAGAGCTTTTTAAAGAAATTTTACAACTGAATGCTTGGATAATTTCCATCCCTAGTCCTGAATTTTACTGAGATAGCTTAGATTTTTTTTTTAGTTCCAGGCTATTTCTTTAATTTTCCGACAGTGGAAGTCTTCTCAAAAATCATCACTTTTCACCTACATTATGAATTCTCAGCCACATTAACATCCTCCACTTGTGTATACAATATACATAATTAATGTAATGTTTTCTGCTGTAAGATTCACTGCTCACCACTGTTTCTTATATTAATCTTCCTCTATCTTCCCATTTCTACCAGTATCTAATTACCAGTATCTAATTGTGTTTGATTATTTGTTCAAATAGGTGATACATAAATCTTTCCGATCTAAAATTATCCTGTTTTGATTTGATTGATATCTTGGCAGAGTATATGATATTTGATATTCTTTCTGACTGCCTAGCTTTTGATCCTTTCTTTTCTGTTTGGGGGTTTCTCCCACCCCTGCACTAGTCTTAGTTGAAGGTAGGGTTAATCTCCCATTAAATACACTAAAATGTAAGCTCTTAGTTTCCTCAGTGCTCACTTGCAGCTAGGAAGGTCTCTGACCTTGCCATTATTTACTCTTGTCCTAGACTTTGATTTAGAAACTACTACTACAAAACAAGGACTATGATGGAAACATCATGACAGCAACGGTGATTGCAACAGAATCATGATCCTAGCAAATATGGTCAAGGTGCTCTCTGTGGATGTCAGTGTCAGCTGTGTGTGGCATAAACTACATTGTCTATGCCCAGAAACACTCAGTAGTGTACGGCCTGGGCTAGCTCTAGGTGAAATCTACAGCACTGCTGCTGCCTGCACAGCCTCCCAGTTTAGTTCTCTAGCCTTTTAGACAATTCTACCTCCTTTTAAAAGCCAGGCACTGGGCCAGGGATTTAGTTCAGGGGATTTAGTTCAGTGGTTTCAACACCTGCTGCGCAAGCACAAGGACCTGAGTTCCATCCCAGGTTTCAAAAAAAAAAAAAGCCAGGCACTGTGGCTCACAATCTACAGAAGAGTACATGTGGTCATGACTCTAATCTATGGTTGCCATCTATCTGGCTGCCATAATAACAGTATCACAGACTGTGGCTGGGTGTCATGTTGCACACCTATAATCCAAGGGTGGCAAGTTCAAGCCCAACCTGGGCAACTCAGCAAGAACCTGTCTGAAAAAAAAAGTCTGAGCAACAAAGGCCTTCTGGTTTAATCCCTAGTACAAAAAAAAAAAAATCTTTAAAATTTTATTTTTCTTCTCAACCAAGTAAGTTTTTATTCTCTACAAGTCAGAACTCAGGCTAATATGGCTGGTTACAGCAGATTTATATTATAATTCTTAGAGTCACTAGTCCCTACAGACTCTATTCCAGCTTCTAGCATTATGCAGCATATGGGAATCCCAAGCCATAGTAATTTTTCTCAAAATTTACCTATCTTCCCCTACTCTCAAAATGAAAACCGCTATTTCTTTATTAATATGGGTTTGGTTCTCACCATCCAAACAAATCCTCACATAGAGGAACACATAGAGCTCTGGAGTGAATGAACCATCTGGGGCAGCACTTCTATCTGTCCCCACATCTCTGAGAATAATTAGAGAAGCAACCCTACCCCAAGGAAATAGTTAAAATCATAAACACAGATTTATGCATTAGTATTATTTAAAAGAGAAAAATTCTGGACCTAATAATAGAAGGATCAAATAAATTATGATAATATATACAACATAGTATTACAGAGATGCTAAGAATATTTGGGAATATTAAATTATATGAACAAATGTTATGATACACTGTTAATTTGAGAAATGAAGTTATAGTATGGCTTCAACTGTATAAAAGTGTGTTTGTGTGCATATGTGTATATATGTGTGTATTACAAATATATAATGGAAGTATACACAGAAATGTCAACAGTCACTATCTCTGAATGGCAGGATTATGAATGACCAGACAAAAAACATTAAAAAGCCCACTGAAGCAACTTCACTGGTCCCGCTCTCTTCACAGGATGAATTCCAAATCTATTAGGATGGCATACCACAGTAATAATCTACAAATTTATGTGCCTATCACCCTTTCAAAATGAACCCTGTGCTCTGGAAACACCAAAGATCTAATCAGCCCTCAAAACTGCTGTATTCTTTCACAAATTCATTTCTTAGTAAGTGCTGTTTCCTCTCACCCTTCGTATGTGCCACTTCACCCTTTAAGATTCATCCCAAGTGTCCCTCTTCCATGAGTCTTTCCCAACAACCCCAGGAATCGATCATTGCTCCCGAGTTCCACAAAGACATGTGGAACTGTCTTACGGTGCCACTGTGGAAGCCCCACATGCACAGTGCCACAATTGGGTTTACAGATCTTCCTCCCTTTGGTAGACTAGGTAATGGCTTCCCAATGGTGTCCACATCCCAATCCCTGACACCTGTGAATATGCTACTTTGTATGGCAAAAGGATTTTGTGGATGTGATTGATGATTGTGAGATGGAGAGATTACCCTGGATTACTCGGTGGGCTCAACAAAAATCACTGGGGCCTTATATCAGGAAAGCAGGAGAATTAAAGAAAAAGGAGATGTGACAATAGTTGGAGGTAGGTACTCTGAAGACTGAGGAAGGAGCCACAGGTCAACGAATGAATATGGTTTTCAGAGGCTGGAAAAGGCAAAGAAAGGATGTTTCCCTGAAGCTTCCAGAGGGAATGTGGTGATTTTAGATTTCTAACCTATTGAAATACCAAAGAATAAATGTGTCTGAAGCCACTAAATTTGGAAATGTTGCAGCAGCAATAGGACATCAATACACTCCCTTACTATCTCAAGCACCCCTTAGGGCAGGCAAAGGAAAGGGCTGAAGCAGGAGAAAGCATTGTGTCAACACTTGGTGAGAACTGAAATGTTGCCTATATCAAGGAAAATGACTGAAAAGATGTAGGAAAATGAGAGAAAGCAGAAGGAAGGGGATAACATTTATCAAAACTAAGATTTATTAACAATTCAAAAAAAGATTTATTAACATTTACTGAGAATCTACTAACTTACATTATTGTAGAAAAACCCCTATAAAGAAATATTATTGTCCCACCTTTACAGAGCATGAAAATGAAACAAGAAATCGAGAAACTTGCCTATGATCCCACAGCTACGTAAACAGGGAAGATAGAATCCAGGAATTCTGGCTCCAGAACCCATGCTTTTAACTAATAAAAAGAAAATGCTTAAACATGGAAGGATTTGCAGGAATTTGTGTATTTATATAAGCCAAAGAGGATGAATATAATTTAAATCAGATTTAATTTATTTTTAAAATGCTCTTGATTCAAAGTGCAATGTGGTTCTGTTATCTAATCTAATTCACATGTAGATTCAAATCCCATGACATGATATAGAAGGGTAAGTTCAAAGCCGGGGAATGATGTATTGGGGCTGCTCCTTTATGTGCATCCAACCCACCCTCCCATCCTCAGCCTGCAGAGGACTGGAGAATACTTCTTGCAGCATAGACCTGCCTGGACACTGGTGACACTAATGAGAAGCCCGAGGAACCGCAAAGCATCCTGACATTGGTGCTCCTACTGGTCAGGACTGCTGATAGGAGAGGAGAGGTGACAAAGCCAGGCAGTAGCACTTAATCCCCAGGAGCAAAGCAGTCATGCTAACAAAATACTCAGCACAGCTATATGGTAAACATTTCTTTGAAAGTCTTTCCTCCATATTTTCAATAAAATTTGAAAGGAAAAGACATTAATTAAAAGAAAAAATATCCTGTAATCCCAACATTCTGGGGGCTGAGGCCTGAGGATTCCAAGTACAAGAACAATCTAGGTAATTTAGGGGGATCCTGTCCAAAAAAATGTGACCTCAGGAAAGGCTGCTTTCACATACAATACAGTTTGAATCTGGAATGTCCCCCAAAGGTCCATGTGTTTAAAGGCTCCCCAGCCTGACTACTGGGAAGTGGTGGAACCATTAAGAGATAGGACTTGCTGGGGATTTAGCTCAGTGGCACCGTGCCTGACTTGCAAGTGCAAGGTCCTGAGTTTGATCCCTGGTACCAAAAAAAAAAGAAGATTCAGTCATAGTTCTAAAAGAATAATGAAATGAAAAAAATTTTTTAAAGATTTAAGAGGCATGGATGAAGGCAGAAAAGATCAAATATAAGTATAATAGGAACCACAAAAAAGGAAAAATAATGGGAGATTAAAGAAAGTGTTAAAAGAGGCAAAAAACACCAGGCAAAAGGTAATTAAAAAGGAATCACATTAAGATGTTTTCTCAAATGTCTGAATTCTAAGTACTGTGCTGGCTTAGAGCCAATGTTCTCTGAGTGGAGGAGGTGAGTTTTGATGGTACCAGAGCTAGGAGCCTAGGAATGACTAGATCCTGCCTGTGGGCCTGTCTGCCCTTCCTAGGGCTACAGACTGCAGTTACTAAGCCCACAGAGAGGTGAGGAGTGGTGAACAAGTCACACTGAAGATGACAGAGCACTTTCTTGACAACTGGCCAGAGCTCTCCTCCAAGAGCTGAGTTGAAGAAAACTTAGGGGTGGTGGGTATATAAGAAGGCCTTTGAGAGGCCTCTGACCCCTCCACTTGGCACTCTGCAGGGGAGGCCACAACCTGGCCTCCTCACTCTGGTACAGGAACAAAGGAGGTTAGGAAGAGGACCTGATCCAGATGTAGTTCAGGGAAACAGGCCCCAGCGAAGTCCACAGCAAGGAGTGGTAGAGAATGAGTCAGCTGGCTGAGTGTGGGTGGAACCTTCAGTCAGCCATACAGCCAACTCCCTAAGAGTGAACTTTTTAAGGAAGAAAATACTGGCTCAATGTTTGTTTTCAGGATATCAGAATGCCCCCTTTGGTCTGTTCATAAAGGAAATGATGGGAAGGACTCCTGGAAAAGGTAGAATTTCCAGATAGCACTCCCAACTCCCTGCCTTTGGCTAAGCGGGGAGAGGGAGAGGTTCTGACTACCTGGTCTCAATTTAGGACACTGCAAAGAACCATCCTAGTTTGAATTCCCCTTAGGACTGATAGAGGCCATTGTGGCACTTGTATCTCATTTCAGCCCAACAGGCTTCCTTCATCCTAAGTCTCAAGGCCTATTTCTCTAGAAAGCAATGAGGACTATCAATTATTACCTTGTTATATATATTAATTTAAATCTTTTATTTAAAAATCATCTTTATTTTAATGAAAATTAAATTTCCATATTAGCCTTTTTCATTTTTTAAATTTTGATTTATTTTTTGCAGTACTAGGGATTGAACCCAAGGCCTTGCACAGACCCCCAGCTCTTACTAATTCAGGGGTCAAAAATTCAACTGTTTATAGAGCCAGACAGGCAAATAAGCATCTGTGAAGGGCAAAGTAAGGAACTAAGGGAGGAGTAGGTAAGGGAGGGGTAGGAACTGTGATACACGGAGAACTTAGGCTCAATAAAATATTCTCATTCAAAAAAAAAAAATATTCTCATTCAAAAAACTTTAATGTCCTCTATGAGACAAATGAACGTTGCCAACTTGTGTCCTCTGGTCCACCCTTTTAAAAGATATAATCAGCATACATAAAATTTTACACTCAGTTTTGTTCATTTATCTTTATAGCCAATATTTGGGTATAATTCTAACAGCTACAGTTTTAAATGGCAGTGGGCATATTACCCAATGAATCTAATCACCATAATTACTTAAACTATTCTTTTGTTTAGAAAGCTAAATGCTGGGAGGTGACCTAGCAATGTTTATAATAATATTAGATAAAAGTGTTTATTAAATGTTTCCTGGGCCAGGGATTTAGCTCAGCAGTTCTGCTGCCCTCCCAAGTGCAAGGTCCTGAGTTCCCATCCCCGGTACCAAAAAAAAAAAAAACACCACCAACAACAAAAATGTCTCCCTTAGTCATTTATGAGCCTAGATTAATTTCTTTAAATTTAGCTCTTAAGCACTGCTCCTGATACACAATAAGCATGGTAGTTTTATAAATAAAAAGTGACCATGCTCTTTCAAAGATAATACAAGCATCTTAATATTATGCAAATGTTTTAAACTCTGGGGAGAAACTTCTTGGGAGTAATGATTAAAGCTGACCATTTCACCTAAATATGAAATAAAACAGAAACTTTTAGGTCAGCTAACAGTCTGCATTCTTCTCATGCCAGGGCAAAGGCTAGACTTGTATTTTAGTTATTGTTTCCCTTTGTTTCCCAGACTCAGGCAGCCTTATTTGGAAGTTTCCCTTTCTGGCTTACAACTTCAAAAAAAATAATACTGTGGGACTGCATAACCTTTGTTCCTTTTCTCCAGCCCCATTGTGATTAAATGTGAGTTAATAGATAAAGATGCTTGTTAGTTTTGGGACACTAGATAAAAATCTGTAACAGACCTAAAGTCCCAAAGTAAACTACTCAACTCCTTGTTTGCCCGGAACTGATGTTCCAGACACCACAATCTATAGAACAAGCTGCAAATGTCTGCTGACCATCAATACGTGACAGTCGACCACTAACCTTTGTCCCCTTTTCTTTAATTCTATATGTTAACTTCCCCCTCAACCCCCTATAAAAGCAGCCTCGGACTCTGAGCCAGTTGCCTCTCTAAGCTATTTTGCTTTGGGAGTGCCATCTGGCCAGACTAATAAAGGTCTGTTTCCCAACATGTCCGGTGTGTTCCTTCCCGGGTGTGCTCCACTCCAGCTCCTTGGAGCGTTTGGTAAGGCCAACGGTCTTACAATACTCTGTGGCAATGCAAAATACTTTATACTGTGGACTGTCCAAGTCATACAACAGAATCATATACTTCTAAAAGAGGGTCTTCATGGAAGTAAATGTAACTCAGGTCCTCATTTTACCAACATGAAAATCCATCAAGGTCAAGAAAAAGGAGTATCTCTGAACCCAGGGGTTTGTTAATAGTCCAACCTACTGCCTAGAAAAAACTGGGTTTGTTTATTCAATGTCATCTATTTATAATCAAGCCTTACCAAATCTCCCCCTCTTTTTGTCCTTTTCAAGATAATCCACACGGTCTCATTTCTTAATCACTCAACTCTGATTCTCACAGTCTTGAAGGATAAACACAATGCTACAATCACACTGATTAGCCTTGAGCTCTCTCTTTCCTCCTCTTCCCTTAAACGGATTCCCTCCCCTTGCCTTCTTCACATTCCAGTCTACACCAGGCCACTTTTACCCTCTCAATTGGCACTAGTCCTCTCAGGCTGAAAGAAGAATTTCCCTAAGTATTTCTCACTATTTCTGGGTGAGCCCAACTGTGCCCTGGGGGTATACAACAGCTCCTGTAAAGAAGGAAACTAGCTCCTCAGGGACAAGGGGGCGGAGGAAGTGACACTCCCTAGACTCTAGGGAGTGACATCAGGGTTGAGAGCTGAAAGGCTGAGAAATAGGATGAAATAATTTATCTTCCAAATTGGGACATATCTGAGAGTAAAACTAATAGGAGTAATCAACCCAGAAAAGGTTTTCAATGGGACTCTCCTGGGGAAAACTGGGACAATGGTCAGCCTGTGGAGAAGTCAGCAATAAAACATTATGAGGAAAAGCGCAAGTTCTCCAAGACAAGAAGGAGCCAGGTGTTGGTGTGATTCCAGGTACTGAGCGGGGAGGCCTGAACATCTGTGGGCAGGGGAATGGCACCTGCCAACTCAGCTACCAGAAAGAATGCCAAACCAAGAACAGAAAGAGATCCCCAGGAAAGCTAAAGAATGTTTGTCCTGTGATGGGAAAGGGAAGCTTACAATACTCTAAATTAGACTATTCTGTATCCAAAAAGGTTAGCATAAGGTTCTGGCTATCAAAATTTACTATACAGAAGAGGTCTTTTTGGTTTTTGTTTTGTTTTTGATACTAAGGATTGAATCCAGGGCCATGTGCATGCTAAGCAAGCACTCTGCCACTGAGCTACATCCTCATCTCTTTATAAATATGTATTTTTTGAGACAAGATCTTGCTACTTTGAAAAAGGATCTCATTAAGTTGCCCAGGCTGGGCTTCACCTTTTGATCCTACTGCCTCAGTCTCTTGAGTAGCTGGAAGTACAGGTGTGTGTGCCACCAGAAACAGCTCAGAAATGGTCATTTTAATGTACAGTTCATGTTAAAATTTAATCATTGCTCCAATTACTATTACAACTTAATTTTAATTCTCTCTTCTTTCTTATTCTTTTACAATTACTGACTCATAATCCCTACCAAAGCATAAAGCACAAG